TTAAAGATAAATGACATTATACATGAGTACTTTACACTATTATTATAATGTTACAGTTTATAATAATGAACCAGCAAACAAAAATATTAATTAGGTATGTTATATATTTATTTAAAAAACAGCATTTGACATATTTAGCAGGATTTTCATTTAAAATGGCTGGTTTTCATGTTTTAAAAAATAATCAGATATCTGAAAATTAACTTATGTGGTTGGGATAACACAAAGAAGAAAATATCTAAATAATACAATCTCTCAAGTGAAACTGCCTAACATCTCTTTAATTTCTAAATATGCCAGAAAAGGAGGAATTTCTTGTATAGCAATTAGAAGTCTGCCACATTAAGTAGCAGAGAATACATGTAAAAAATTACCAGGAGTGATTCTTGATATTTTTATCACCTGATAATTTAGAAACAGATATTTATTTCTTCCTTCTATACATAAAAAATAACAAAATTATCTTCAAGATGCTATGATTTAACTTTGTAAATACAACAAAATAGCTAGAAGAAACTTCTATACCTGGAAAATAAGTATAAATGTAAAAAACTATGGTCTCCAAAAAGTCGTAGGTATAACACATAACAAAAAGCCATACCATGTAAAGACTATGTAATAACATGTTGGGTAAAGGGTGATTAAAGGATTATTGCATTTATGGTGACGACTTTGTTGTTTAAAATCTTCATAAGTAAATGGTTTCATAACGAAGCCTTTCTATATAAACACATATTTATAAAATATACTATATTTCCAGAGGTATAGTTATTATGCACTAAGCCTTTAACATTTTTATGAGATGGTTTAGGGGACTTTTTCTTTTTAAATTAAATGAGCCTAGAAGTGAAAAATTGATACCAAGTCTCTCGAGGACACGCACAACTTAGGCAAAACATTCCAGGGCTGACCTGTCGAACAAGGGTCTGGAATCAAGCACTTCTTCACCTATAGTCACAGAGGGCCTTCTCTGAACTAGGCACACGGCTGAACTCTGAGGATGCAGCAGTGAATGGAACCAAGTTCCTGGCCTCATGAAGCTTTCAAGTTAGTGGATGGCTAACAAATACTGATTGTTTACAATGTATCTGTGACTATTCTAAGCACTTCAGATGTAGTAACCCACTTAATCGCCTGTCACACTGAGTTAGAAACTTTTACTATGGTAGCTTTACAGATGTAGAGGTTGAAATACAGTTTAAGTAACTTTCCCAGTTAATTTCTTTTGGATTTCTATTCTCTTCACTATTTTCCTCACAAATGAAATTGTATTCCACAGACAGATCTCACCTTTATTCTTTTCTTCTCTCAGCCAACACACACACACACACACACACACACACACACACACACACACACACCAGTAAGCGATAGATTACAAAAGGCAGAAAGTCACAATTAAAAGCATGAATGGACCAGTTACACACTGGGTATGTGATCTTTAGCAATTTACTTCATATCAATAAACTTTAGCTAGTTTCTTTATAAAATGCATAAAAGCAGAGCACCTATTATTCATAAGGTCATTGCAGGGATTAAATGAGATAATAGATATACGGTGCTTAGCATGGTAACTGGTAACAGAATAACGTTATAACAAATGTTAGCTACTGATATTGTTCTTTGTTGTTATTGTTGAATGGAGATGGAGACACACTTATTGCATGCCTCCTAAAATCTGCCAGATATTAAAAATACTACATAACATAATTATTGAAAGAACACAATTCGAAGTATAAAATAATGAGTAATGGAGATTATCTTTAAAAAGTATGGCAGAATATTTTTATTACAAACTCTTCTGCATTGACATTATACTGGACTTTTCAGCTAAAGCTAACTTGTCTGATCTAGGTGGTTTTAATTTTTTTCCAGTATTCTAGTAGACCAATATGCTGGTAATCTGAGAGATAAAAACACAGGTATAATTATTCTAAACTTTCCACAGGAGCTTAGACAAAGCATTTTAGTGCCATATGCCTCACTGGAACATAAGGAAACACGGAAAAGTAAGTAGGGAGGTAAAGTTGATATTGATCAAAATTATTTAAAGCTTTTGAAGAAATTAGGAAGAGTGAAGGAACCAAATAAAAAGATATAAAGAATATCCTAAATAACCATTCCTCAAAATAAAACTTGCACATACACCTCTTAAAAGTAACAAAAACAAGCTACCGTTGCATACTTCATGTTTACAAGCGGTCCCATGAATGGCTGCAAAAAGAACAGCCACCATGCATTGCCTGCTTTCTTTGTGCTAGGCACCATGTTCTCTACCTTACATGGATTGCCTCATTCGATCCTACCACAGGCCTGAGAAATGGGTGATATTACACTTTTTTTGCAGATAAAGGAAATTGAGGCTAAAAGCTAGCAGATATCAGAGACCAGCTGAGCATCAGTCATATGTTCTTTGGGTCCAGAGAGAAAAGGTAATCCATTCGCCATTTTGCTTGTCAATTGTGCTCCTTGGTCTTCTTTCTGCCCAGAATTATACTTATAATAAAGCTTTTCCCACTGGAAAAGACAGACAGGGTGTCTAGGAAAACTTCAGCACCTACTGCTGTAAATGATGGCTGTGTAGGTTGGCCAAACGGTTCATACACTACCACAACTTGCATAGTGATATTCTCCTCATCATAATCAAAGGACATGCACTCTTTGAATAGTCCACTTCATGAGCACTGAGTACAAAGCTAAACAAATACTGGATATCTAAATATGCAGATACACTTAGCATAAATATACATATTTATATACTGCAAAAAGTTAAAAAGTAGGGTTCCATAATATAAGCCTGTTAAATGGAAACACAATATTTTATTGTGACTTTGTCTACAGTACAGTATAAACTATGACTACATCATACATAGATGCATAATGAATATTTTCATAAATGGAAGAAAAACTCCACTATAGATTTAAAAGGTTTTACTCTTACGATTTAACATAGGTGTCTAGATGTTTTAGTGTCAGATTTTATGAGTTAAAGTTTTGCAGTCAAATATATCTAGACTTAAATCAAGGCTCTGGGCCCCGCCTTCTACTTGCTGTTGATTTTAGGAGCATTGTCTGTTGTTGTTTTTCAACTGAGAAGTAGAGATAATGCCATCCATTTGACAGTTCATTGTGAGAATTAAATGAGATCATGTATTTAAAGAGGTAAGCATGATACCTCGTGCACAGTAAGTGCTCACTGAAATGGTAGCTACTATTATTATAATTAAGGTCTTCGATTAATACAGTGCCCTTCTTCTCAAAGTACTCTAAGCATATCACCAACTGTGTATGTGTCTGTGTGTGTAAAACACTATTATGGCCCAAATCATGTGCTCTTCTCTACATGGAATACTAAACCGAAATATATATTATTAAACTACAATGTATATTACAGCACATCAGTGCAAAACTTAGCCAAGTGTTTGGTATATGGTAATATGCATAATTATTTTTATTAGAACTTGAAAAAGATAGTAATTTAAAATATAGGTTTATACATTCCCTTCTTGCTACTCACAGATGTCAAAGTCATGGAGAGTTCACACTTTGCCCCCCAGAATGGCATTCCTAGGAATCAGTCTCTTTCCAAATCACCAAAATCTAGAGTTTGGGAAAAGTCTTTATTTTTGAATTATAACAAGAATTAAGCTCTGTGAGATTCTGAATCAAGACAGCCAAGTAAAGGATTATTTTAAAACCACTAGAAAAATCTCAAATCATACCGTACTTGTGGTTACAATGAATTGATAAATAATGATAATCAAATTTATACTAAATAATGGTACAGTATTCTAGCCTATAATTGGAAATAAAAAATTTTTATGCTTAGTTTTATAATTACATATAGTTTAGATATATTGGTGGACAATCTGATGAAAAAAACAACTAGTTTTTATTTTTTCTTTGTAGAGCATCAATTTGAGTATTAATAACAAATTAAATTAGGGTAT